TTTTCTTTCCTTGACTGCTTTTAATACCGAGAATGAATTACAGAAAGTATATCGAAGGAGGGTAGTAGTACGCGTATAATTTTATCGCGATTTTGAATAAAATTGATCAAGATAATTATTGTTTCCAAATTAAATTCGTTACACGTATCCGAAATTTGTATTACTTTCACCGTATTATCCATTCCTTTTTCCACTCTCATTTTTTTATTTTTTTTTATTTCGGTTTTTCCTTTTTTCACCCCCATCGTGGAAAATATGATCTGTTTTTTTCTTTCTCGTGACGATGAACCTTTATTACGTTTCCCTGCAACACTTTGTTTGTGGCATTCGTAAAAGAAAAAACAAAAGAGAGTAGCAATAAAATAATAATAATAATAATATTAATAAAAAGAATATATAAAAGGAAAATTTTTATTTATTACTCGATAGAGAAAGTATTTATTTTGTACAACAGAAAAACAAAATGAAACAAAACGAGACGAGACGAGGCCAAAAAAAAGCAGAAAAAAAAAAGGATAAAAATCACACACAGGAAAATAATAATCTTCTTCTGTTTTTTTTTTTTCTTTTAAATCTTTCTCGATATCCATCCTTAATCCCCCCCTCCTCCCCTTTGACCCCATTTTTGTTCTTTAAACTATCCTCGAGGATAAATGTTATAAACTATGTACAAAAACAACGACACGATATAATTAACACTTTTCTTTTCTTTTCTTTATCTTTTTCACTTATTTCTCGAAGTTATAATATATATAATTATATAAAATAATTTTTTTTTATCTCGCAATCAATCAATCGATCAATCGATTGAGATCTGAACCTCCCCCGTCCCCACCCCCGCACGATTAAGGACCTTGATTGAAAAAAAAGAAACAATATATCTCAATAATATAATATAATATAATATAATATTAATAATAATAATAATAATAATAATAATAATAATAATAATAAAATTAATAATAATAATAGCGATAAAAGACAGTAATATTCGTAATAGTATC